TTTGTTTCATTTTCTTCAACACCGTTAAAAATCCCATTGCACTTATTTAGGTAGCCTTTGTAAGTAGAGTTGTATTTTTATTATTTATATACAATTTGATGTTTGAAGGTAAACAAAAATTTGAATTTATATAATTTCATGGAATTGTGGGAATGGTTCCTTTAGAAAGAGACCATTGACCCACAGCACAGTCACAAAAGGGATAGATGCCGTGGGTGGCAACTATGGCGCTAATAAATACACCGTTCACCATTTCTAATTTCTGAAGGAAAATATGAATGAATAATCAAACAAATTGTAGGTTTTCTAAGGATAATGGCTCATGTACATCTCTTTGTTTTATTCAGTATTTGCATGAATTTGCATGTGATATCAGAACTTGTTTGTTTTGTTTTACAATAGTATGTTTGTTTCGAAGTTGATTTGTGTATTTGGTTATCTCGAAGTAAGTTTACAATCTGTCAATTGACATATTATCTCTATGCCTGACAGATGATGTCACAAAATCAGTGACATGATAATAAATATGGACTGTCCATTGAAAAACGAACATTGACTCCAACAACTAAAAAAAATTAAAAGATTTACGTCTTGGCACTCATGTCATTCATGCACTTATCATGCACTATTTGGAACCTTTGATGTAGTAATGAACATTACTGGAGTTTTCCCCAACACCAAACCGTTATTTTAACACGTGTTTCGATCACCAAGTGATCATCTTCAAGAGAAATATCAAACAGTTTGATCTTCCTGTTGAAGATGACCACTTGGTGATCTAAACACGTGTCGAGGTGTTGAAAAAAAAAGGTTTGGTGTTGGGGAAAAAACTCCAGTAATATTCATTACTACACCAAAGGTTCGAAACAGTGCATCACAAGCTTATTGAATGTTCTCTTAGGAGGTATATTCAGAAAATGCCTGGAATTTTGGTTTTATGAAAAAAATATTTACTTCTCAAACTCGATCTAAGGGATAACCTTTAGCTCTTTCAACGCCGCACTTCAAATGTCATCTATGCTTGTAAAACGATGGTCCTTTGAGATTCTCTTCATTTTGGGAAAACAAGGAATATGGAGGCTAGGACATCGTTACAGTATTGTGTTTGGACAAAAATTCGAGAACAAGCAATGAAGTGTGAGCAGGCGCATTATTATAGTGCAGAATGCATGAGTTGCTTTTCCACAAATCTTGCCTTTTTTGTTGCTTTCGGAAAATCATCAGAGACTTTCCTGATTGTGATTGGGCGATTGTTCATAAGCATTTCAGACACTTTTTTCTCGTTTTCATCAGTTGTTAACGTGCTAGGATGTCTGGGGCTCAATACCACTTGTTAATTCTTGCTTTACTCATAGCAGACTCATCATAGGGTCATCATACTCTTTGTTACACTTTATTTAATTTTTCATGCAAAGTTTCATACTAATTTGTTTTAACAGTTTTAACATAAACAATGAATACACCTGACAAATTGACAATCTGATTCTCCAAACCGTGAAATTTAATTTTTTGAACATACCTAATGCAATCCAGTTCTTATCATATTTTTTCAAGTTTTTAAATGCTTTTATGGCGTGAGCCGATTTTTCTCAGAAGGCCAACCAATAAGCTAAAATGGATTGTACAAGTCCATGTTAGGTTAGTTTCAGCACATCTATTGATACTGTTCCTTGCACTTCATTACGATATTCTCTACATGTACTTCCTATGCTAATTTTTCATCAATGGTTATACCTGAATATTCGAAATGACTTTCTTGCTATGTGGGTATTCCATTTTTATGAAAGGGGAAAAAATATATAAATACTTTTTCTGTTGAAGAATAATGAATACTCATTTATTGATTTTGATCATCAATCCACTAGGAGAATTCATTGGTCCTCCATAAAGTGGGCATATCCTAATTTGTTCTATACTTCAGTGATTGCTAGTCTCAAGCTATTCAATTACCTTCATTATTCTTTTCTTTTTTCCAGGAACCGACTCAAAACCCCACCGCTAATTTAGACCGTTCCCACGACCGCGTCTACGAATGCACAACCGACGTAGTGAGGGCGGTAATGTCACTCTCTCAAGGCGTTCAACAAGCCGTAGCGGAGCAGTACCTCGAACTAGTCAAGAAGGTTGGAATTGAGCTGAGATCGCTGCTAGCCAGCGTCGACGAGATCGTTTCGGCTTTCCCAGTAGCCGCCCAACGGGAAGTAGAGATGGCTCACAAGGTTTTATCCAAAGATATGGCGGAGTTGGTGAACGCCATGAAGTTAGCGCAGCAGTACAGCCACACGACTTTAGATGCTGAATACAGAAAGTGAGTCTAGATATTTTTCGTACTTAACAAGAGGTTTTTATGTTGTTTTTTGGCAAATTTATACTCAAGATCAAGTGTTGGAAATTGTTTTCTTAGGTAATTTAATTGTTTTAAATCTTTAGATGATTTTTTTATTTCATTTGTTACGCATTCATTTCCAATGGTTTTTTTAATTTTTTTGTTTTTAATGGGACACGTGGCTTCAAAGTTGTAAATCAAAATCAATGTGTCAAGAAAGGCGTTAAATTTTGAATCAGTATTGTTTACCAAGTAAACCTCTTCCCAGTTTTCCTTCTTTAATAAGGTTATAAAACTATTAATATTTACCTCCCTCGTTTCCCTAGCATAAATTGTCGTATTAACAGAAGGTTCATTATCTGAAGGTACTGCAAGTAGAAAATTGTCATGATCTGATTCAGTATTAATATCAACCTTACCCTCACAGTATTCAACATTTGTATATATTTGATCTAGTATACTTTCACAGGTGGAAGTGACACGTGTGGGAGTGTGATTGGTTGGGAGTAACCCATATGATTCTAAACGATGAGTAAATTTTAGAAACTGATGTGTCATAGAATTTATATTGAAGTCACCACACAAAAATACGCAACTCCTGTTCTCTCATACAGTTTCCATAATCATTATGAGGTTTTCAAAAAATGTATCAAAGTGGTCTTTATATCCGAATTATATCCGACAGACATTCTTGCAACATTCGTCACACAGACTAGTCTCGCAGATGTTTCGATTATTATTTTTATTAGTATTATAGCCTCTGTGAGTAATCTTGCATAAATGTCTGTCAGATATAATTCAATATCCAACGTGGTATTAGCTGGTGAAGTAGTTGTTTTTCGACAGACGTTTACTGCACCCTACTGTGTAGGTAGTTGGGAGAGAATAATATTTCGAAATATTTATTTCCTTATAAATAAGTCAAATTCTAAACTAAAATCTTGAAAACTAGCATCGTCTAAAAGCTTCCTGGTCTTACATATATCCATGTTAAACAGATCAATCTTCTGAGATAATGAGTCGCCTGTTACTTTCATTCTATGAGTGGTGATAGACGCATGTAATATGATGAGCAAAAGATATCGCAAATATCTCAGCATTGCGAGTATTCCTAACAGGAATTTTCAGAGTGCTACTTTCAATTCCAAATTATAATTATTGTTTATCTTTCAGGGGCATGTTGGGAGCAGCTCATGTCCTCGCTATGGATTCGAAAAACTTATTGGACGTAGTGGACTCCATCAGGATTCGGCATCCCCAAATAAACCAACAACTATTCAAATCTATCGAATCTCTTTCGGAATCTGATCACATCCAAGATGAGGCACAAAAAATGCCGGTTCCATCCCAATATGTCATGTTGTCCCCTACACCTGTAAGCTGTACCTTTGTGCAGGCACCCCTTTACACAAATAACATCCAGTCGTCGTCTTCGTCTAATTTGAGTACAAACGTCTTGGATAGTTAGTTTGAACGATAGGGAATGAAACCAGGTTTGTAGTTGTGTTGGGGAGATCTGAAGTGTTGTATTATATGGCGGCTGAGCTTTTTCGGTATATCAAAACTGTTTTTGTCCAAAATTACAGGTGACTCATTTATAAATGAAGCAAATAATTTTACTTACACTTTATCTATGAAACCTTCCTGAAACTCATTTAAATCAATTCATGTTCCATCGTGTCAAAAAGTAAGTCTGGACAAAATTATTCAAAATAAGTGTTATGAAGTTGAGCTGCTTGAAATTGGAGTATTTTGGTTTTGATGAAGAAAGGAACGATAAAATAAGGTTTTTTTGGAGATTTCTGGCAAATTTTCAATTGAAGTCTTTCTAGGTGATGGAATTAAGAGCAATAAATATTGCAAACATCATTACACTTCCCTATTTCAATATTATCAATGCATTGCAGTAGATTTCACATATAATAGGGAGATGTACAAAAGAATAAGGACTCTGGAGGGTGCCAGTTCCAATCAAAATTATTCATATATTGTTGTTCAGATGATGATGGTTGAAGGGTTATTACTGTTTTTGTTTTTTGTACAACATACTAAATGCATTAACCAAAGAAGTTTGTGTCATAAGTTTTTTTAACCGTGGTCTGCAGGTTTTTTACGCATGTTTCGTCTACTACTGTGGTAACGGTCGTAACGGTCTGTGTGTTTGACCTAACAAACAAATTAAGTAGAACAGTGGAAAAAAGCCACTTGAACACAACAACTTTAAAACTTATTATTATAATTCAATTAAATGTTGCCATCAACTTTCCTTCAGAAGGTTATAAGCATAAGAAGTTACAAGCAAAATTATGCTGCAGACAATGTGACTGTTGCACTTTTGAATCACTGTGGGACAGCATACTGCAGACTCCCTACACTGACAGGTGACACGAATACAACGATTCACTCGCGACATCAATTTCACCAAAATCACTTTTACGAACAGGAGGAAACAACATGGCATCTGTGAGTTGGTATAGATTCTACTAATATCATGTCCAATTGGATTTTGATATGTCATTGATTTTGACTTTACGACTGTGCTATTGAAATTATTAGTTTCGTGCGGTTTGTATTGGTGTTGTCTCAAAAATTTGTTGCAATATTTTTTCAAATGTATCTTATATGTCTAATGATTTTCAAACTAGTAATATTAAGACGAAGAAACTACTGAAGAAGAATTTAATTGAATTCGAAACGTCTGCAAGAAAACAATTGTTTTAAAAAAATTGATTCTGTAACCCAACCAACCTTTTTACAGAAAAATAATTGGAACACTAAAGTAGTTAACAAAAAATATTTAGTTTGATTAAATTTTGTTGAATAACATATCAGTGAATAAAAGAAATGATGGGTGTTTTTCATAGATTTCAAATTATATGCCATCAGAATCATCATGCCTTAAATTCATCTCCGGAATGTTTTTGAATTGTTTATTCATCGGCGTATCCTTGTCATTCAATTCTGAAATTTTGACATGAGAGCATATTGACATAATTTTCACAATATAGCAAACGCACATTTGTTTGTTTGTCCGACAATATGATATGTGCCGTATATTATTCAATGTTTGTTATATATAACGAGGAATTGACAACCTTCTCATGACAAAGCTCAAAAAGTTTGTATTATGTTTAGTTCACAGTAGGTAGATCTCGACTACTTGCTTTGAAAAAAATTATTACCTATGATGAAACTAATGATATGTAACCAATTCTTCAAAAAACACATTTTGCGTTTCGTGTTGTTTAATGTATAAGTTTTAAAATGTCCTTATAGGACGAAACTGCAGTAATTTCAGTTACAAATAAAAGTGGTAAAAAAACATAAATTTTCATTTCTCATTTTACATTTTGTGAAAAGATTTCCCATTCTGATTTGATAACTTTCATTATTTTCTTTGATCAGTATCAAGTTATTTTAATATATATTACTGATCTTCACAAGAGAAAGAACCTTAATAAATGAAAACTATATAGTCAAAATCAATATTGAATAGGACTAATCGCAACGGTTTCTATGGTGACCCCCCTGAAGTACATCTGTGGTAGGTAAAAAAACAAGTGATGTGATTTCAATAAACAAAATGAATCGATCCCTTTGCCTCCAGAAAAATCAATAATACATCAGATGGAATTTTCAAGTGTATTAATTATTGACTGATATATCAAAAACCACTTTTAAAATGAAATCGTGATAGATGAAATTGTTCATTTCCTCTTATTACTTAGTCTCATTTTTCAAAATGGGTTTTTACTTTTTCCATAACACTTATCTCATCATTTCATACTTCTACAAATAAAAAAGTAATTTCAAGTATGACAACACACCCTACATCAAACTTTTGAAAGATTATCGGAGCCTTCTTTGTCACTTTAGGTGCAGGTCTTCGTCATTCAGCATCTGTTGACATCGAGTCTTTAATAAGGTTTTTCTATATATTGAGTTTCATTAAAATTTTTGCCAGAAGTCTCCTGAAACCCAAAACCAATAGTATTCAGTAATGACCTTATAGGTTTTGTATTTGCTTCTGAAAACTGACAGTTTAGCAAAGTCCATCAATTAGGTAGGCAATGAAATTAGGTATAATAGAAATATTTATTATATGTCTTGTTTAATTTTCATTGACCCGAATGAGAATAATAAAATAATTGTTGTAAACAATTCGATTCCTGCAGCAGCATTTATCATTTCCCATTGAATGGGAAAACTGTTTTCCATTTGGGTTTATTTCTTGTTGCCTTCAACAAATTTGAAATAAACCAATACATATCAAACATCAATATTTCTATTTTCATCATAAGTGAGAGTGGAAAACAGTTGGAACTTTAATAATGTGTTCACATTTTACCGTTTATTTTGAGATTTTACTTGTAAAAAAATCATCTCTGTTGAGTTTTCCTCATGTTTTAAATTCATGTGAAAATTAAAGATTTCACGAACACCTCAGTTTAATTACAACCTGTATCAAAGTTATAATAGCCCCAAATCATTAATATATGTGATGGAATTGGTCGATACTTGATGAAAATAAACCCATAATGTATTCAAGTAACACTATTTTGAGAATTACACTAAATAATTTACAAAACCACAACATGTGTTTCTCTATATAATAGCATCATCAGGCAAGTTCATATTGACCATCTAATTTGTGTTTTACAGTATTAATAATATTTATTCAGTAAATATGTTTCACAAACTACAATAAATATTACACAAATCACATCGTAAGTAACTGTTAAACAATTTTATAGAAATATTACCAAAATTTACTGTTTACCAAGTGTAATGAAGGCTCTTCTCAAAAAACAAAATTTAAATTTGCTTCAAAACATTATCTGACACTTTAATTCGTTTTAAAAGTTTATATTTTTTCCATTTGTGAGTGAAAGCAGTTCTCATATAGTTTTATAAATATTTTGTGTACTTTCACTATACTACCTAATTTTTCAAGGGAATAAATGATCATTTATTGATTAACAAATGAAATAACTGAATGATAGGCTGATTGAAAGCTGGAATCATTTATTGATCACACTTTTTATAAAGAAAAGAAGTATTTGCAACTATTGAATACTTACAAGTAATAATTGAACTGAATAAATGTACATTACTAAAAATGCACTGGCATCTAATCATTCACATTTTCGTGTATGTCAAAATCTTAACTGATACTCAGTCTTTTTTCTCCTTGGTTGACACTTCTTGGGAATCTCCGCCATTTCCAAACGTAACAATCCAAAAGCACAGCCAATTCGGAATCAGAATACAAGTTACAACGCTGTACAGCCAATTTCCATAGATCATAGAATCCACAATACCATAAATTACAGACTGCTGAGTTGCATCCCAGCTCCTGGTGAGGATTTCTTTTGGCTGTTCGTCGGAGAATAGAAGGTAAGTATTGACTAGAACTACCAAGGAGAGTACCGACATAGGATGAACGAAAAGCCAAAAGAGGCGTTGGAAGAAAGAACACGGACTGAAATGAAAAGAAAAATTAGAACTCTTATTATAAAAACTCGGAAATCCAAATAGTTTTTCTTTCAATTGAAGATGTGTTTCAAATATATGTATCATATTTATATGTAAAAAAATGTGTTTGCTTACCTACAAGATGTTGCTCCAATGCAAAGGGCTAATGGAACGCTGAGTATGGAACAAAAAAGTCCCAGTGAAAAGTTGTTCATGGAAATGCAAATCAAGACTGTTCCTAGTTCCAACATTGCAAGGATATTCAACTGTTCCATACCTTTTATGCAATTTCGAAACGAAACGAACATTGGCATTGATAAAGTCAATATCAAATATGCTAAAAGACCATAAAAAATTGAAGAGTTTGTGTTGTAGTCATAGAGTTCGGCTACGGTTGGTATATACTGAGGCAAATTTGAAAGTATTACTCCAAGCAAATGTGTTGATAAAAATACCATTATGATTTTATCTAATGATGAATCATTAGAATTTGCTATAGAACCATTGGAATTTGCAGTAGTATCATTAGAATTTGCTGTAGAACTTGCTGCAGAATCATTAGGACTCGCTGTAGAATCATCTGGAAAAAAAAATTCTCGTCAAATTTAATCTTTGAATGAAATAATTTGAATTACTTGATAAAATACGTTTTTCTGAAAAATTTGTTTTGAAACCTATTTTACCAAAAAAAAACACATATTTTCATTACTTCAGCAATAAACCTTCAGGAATACTTGAATATCTCAAGATTTATATCAAAACTATTTTTTTCACTATTTTATCAATAAACTTTCACAAATATTTGAAATATCGTAAGATTTGTGTCAAAGCTATTTTCTGGGATTTTTGGGTGTGATGTTTTTTGAGATGTACTGCAGATATCCTGAGAGCGGTGCCTGTACGTCCGTTCCAAGAGATTATTCAAGCTTCGAAAAGTGCCTTCTAAAATCCTTCCAATACTCATCATTCCAACCTTACTGCTACCCTTCGCATTAGAATCTTCAAATCCTTCCAAGGTCAACGCTTGAATTCCGAACCGATGAAAAAGTCCGTGGTTACCATTTGGTATCTGTAAGAAAACAGAAATGATTGATTTACTAACTTACCCAAAAGTAACATCGTAGTTTCTACCATTTACATTCACTATGTGTTAAAGAATTTGAATTCAAGTTCAACATATACTTTCAGAGGAAAGAATTCCTTGACATATTAAATAGAATCATGTAATAATAATAGAAATTCCACCTGGATTTTATGAACTCGCCCTATATAGACTGATACCTTTTGAGCTCGTGTATTAAATTTAAATGTTGTTAGTTTTTGAATTTTAACTCATGCTCATTTTATTTATTTGCTATTATGATTGTATGTACTTCACTCACATTATTACTAGTCACACCACTGTGATTTATCATAAATGTATTATATGCATATGATCGAATAAGGTCTGTCTGTCTGCTTGTCTATGTAATTGTTTATGAAAAAGTAAATGGGCTGAAGATGTTATCCCTTTGACCAAAAAATTAAGAAGGTATTAATGGCGGATTGTGCAATTCTCAAATTATTCATGAAAAATTGAAAATATAAAATCAAAAAGTTGAAAGGGGTCAATTTTTGAGAGAGATTAATTTTAGGAAAAGGTTTAATGCTTTCTTCTTCCTCATCTTTATACAAAAAAAATGTGGGAATCTTTGAAAGAAAGGAAGAAAGCAATCGATTTCAAAACGAACTCTTTAAAAAAATTCTAATAGGTCTGAGATAACTTATTCTGTGGAAATATGCTTTCTAAGGATAATTCATCACCTCTTACTGGACAAATTGATAATGGACTTGATATGATCAACAAGTGATTTCTATGTCAATCAACATTAATGTGATCGAATATGGTTGATACGACAATAAATTCTATTTACTATACAGAACTAACCCCGGTAGCTTGGGTAGCCATCATCGCCAATAGATTCTTAAAATAATTCCACCATTCCTTGAAAAAATCCCTGTAATACTTGGGTCCTCTATTTTTGAATGTGTGATACAGGCCTTCTTTGGCACACATCTTTGAAGCTAAGTTAAACAAATCCAAATTTGGTAGCTGACCATTAAGGCCCTCTATTTTTATGTCCATTTGGCCTGAAATTGTGAGCGGTTGAGATAATCCATCTTCAATTTTTTAACGTGACTCACCAATTCTCTCACTGTGCAGTTCCAAATTTATAGCAGCTTGAATAGCTCCTGCTCTACCTCGCAAGTCTCCATGATACAATGTGTCCTCGTTTCCACAAGTAACCCCATGATATGCTTCCAGCCAGGCTTGAATTCCCAGTTGTTCATGTTCGGTGATTAGAAATATTATATCCTTTGCCCAATATTTTTCAAAATAATAGTCTTTGTCAATTCGGTACTGGCGATGCCAAACAGGCTGAAACAGCTGTCTACCGTGTGAATTATGTTAGACTATATGTCCTTGAATTATTACATACTTACTATTGGCATACTTTGCAAAAGCCATCATAATTGCAATAGAAGGTGCTGTAGTCGGATGAACACTCACTGGAGGCCTGAAAGGTACACTCAGTACTAATGCTTCAGTACTGGAACCTCTTGCGGCCCTCAAAATGCCATACACATTTTTTCCACTATATTTCTAGAAGTGGAAACATATTTTGAAGAACTGGTAATGTAGAAACAGCTAACAACAAACCTCTTTTTTGTTCAATGGAGAGACAAGTGTAAAATTGTGTGTGTATGTGTCCAGTCCAATTTGCCTAAATTTTGCTAACAAATAAGGGTATGGGATGGAATCATCATACTTTTTCATTTCGTCCAGCAGTTCCTCATGGAATCTAACGGCTAATCTATCTTCGCGAAACTGTGATTTCACTAGACCAGGTAGAAGAGCATTTTCAGAAAAATAGGTACTTGCATTTTTTGATGGATCTGCCAAAGCGCAGAACCATACTATCCCGGAAAGGTACATCACCAAACATAACTTATTGTAGTATTTTAGAAGCAGTTTAACAAATTTTCCTTGGCCCGTGCTGGGATCCGTTAACAAGCCCATCTTTTCTCTGGAGATGAACAATTAGATTTATATATTTCTATCATTTGCTCATTTTCAATGATTAATTTTCAAGATTTTCTTCAAATAACTCCCAATGGTCCCAATGTCAATTTCAAAACTTGGGTTATGTTTAATTTCTTTTATCCATAGACATGATAACATAGACTGGGCGTGATGTCACTTTAATATATATTCCACTAGCACAGCGGATCACGCAATATTTTGGCCACTGTGTCACTGCAATATATGACAAATCAAATACCAAAATGTTCACATGAAAATATGCAACGCGTCAAACATCGTGACGTATCTGGATATGTGTATAAATATTACTCGAGTTTTTTTCCCAATACTAAATCGTTATTTTAACACCTCGACACGTGTTTAGATCACCAAGTGATCATCTTCAACAGGAAGATCAAACTGTTTGATCTTTCTCTTGAAGATGATCACTAGTGATCGAAACACGTGTTGAAATAACGGTTTGGTGTTGGGAAAAACTCCAGTAATGTTCATTACTACACCAAAGGTTCCAAATAGTGCATGATAAGTGTATGAAAGACGTAAATCTTTTCATTTTTTTAGTTCTTGGAGTCAATGTTCGTTTTTCAATGGGCAGTCCATATTTATTATTATGTCACTGATTTTATGACATCATCTGTCAGACCTAGAGATAATGATAAGGACTAATGAGAGTTTTCAATTTGTCAATTGAGAGATCGTAAATTTACTTCGAGATAATCTAATACACAAATCAACTTCGAAAGAAACATACCATCGTAAAACAAAACAAACAAGTTCTGATATCACATGCAAATTCAATACTGAATAAAACAAAGAGATGTAGATACTCCATTATCCTTAGAAAACCTACAATTTGTTTGATTATTCATTCATATTTTCCCTCAGAAATTATAACATCAAATTGTACATAAATAATAAAAATACAACTCTACTTGTAAAGGCTACCTAAATAAGTGCAATGGGATTTTTAACGGTGTTGAAGAAAATGAAACAAAAAGAGAAGGAAATGAGAATTCTCATATTGTATCCTTTGCTCAAAATAAATAATATTACCTACATATTTTTGAAATAAAATATCCTTAACATATTTACAGAGGATTGGATAATGCTGGTAAAACAACAATAATGAAAAAATTCAATGGTGAACCTATCGATACCATTTCTCCTACTTTAGGATTCAATATTAAAACTTTGGAGCATGAAGGGTTAGTTTTGAAATGAACACCCTAAAGTTTGTATATATTTCTTACTATTTTAGATTTAAATTGAATATGTGGGATGTTGGTGGACAAAAGTCTCTCAGGTCCTACTGGCGAAACTATTTTGAATGCACAGATGGTCTTATTTGGGTGGTAGACAGTGCTGACAAACGTAGATTAGATGATTGCAGGTCTGAACTTCATGTTTTATTGAAAGAAGAGGTAGGTTGTTCTACTTTTTGTGTCTCAATTGTGTTATGACTGGTATTTTTTATTTTAGAGGTTATGTGGTGCTACATTGTTGATTTTTGCCAATAAACAAGATTTACCAGGTGCCTGTACAGCAGAAGAACTGAGAGAGGTAAGTTATTGCTGTACTGAATTATCAAATCACATAGTAGTCTTTACATATTTCAGATTTTGGAACTAGATAAAATAAAAACCCATCACTGGAAAATTGTTTGGTGCAGTGCCGTAACTGGCGAAAATTTGTTGAAAGGAATGAATTGGCTTATAAATGACATTTCCGCACGTATATTTACTTTGGATTGATTTTCATAATAACCTTTCGAAATTGAAAACCATCGTTGCTAATTTATGAAATATGCCACCAATATGTTACAATAAAAGCTGTTTTCTTTCTAAGAATCAGCTTTTTCTAATATTTTTTAGGACTTGTGGTTTGTGCTTTTATCAGAAGTGGTATCATTGCACAGTCCGCCTGAAAAATGTTTGCATATTCTAATTAATTGAAATTTGTGACGTGCTTATTTAAAAAATACTTTTATCTATCTTTATTTTAATGTCTCAAATCTTATTTCCAGTTAATAAAAAAAATCTCCATTGTTTTTACAAAACCCCTTCTCTCAATGACCACAACTGTAATACGTGCATTTCACCAACTAAGTTGGGGTCAATAGGAGATGGAGACAGATTTTTTTAAACAGATTTGAGGCCTCAAATGTCTCCATCTTCTATTGACCCCAACTTAGTTGCTGAAACGCACGTAATAGATTTGTGGGAGCTGGATTTAATGGTGGGTCAAGCAAGGTTCATTATTACAGACTTCATTAATAGTAAACATGATTTTCTTTGTAGAAGAAAAATATTTTATCAGATCGGTGGATCCATTTCCTGTAGTTTTATACACGCGCACGATCAATAGAAACTGTTTAGCACTAGTCGCTTTGTTTATGAAACAGTTTGTTTAGAATAAGGCATAACTTAATAAACCAACTGGTGAATTGCTATGAATTAGCAGAAAAACGCAAAATCTAATAAATTAATATTTATTATGAAAATAGGTACAAGCTAGCAACATTATATAAAAATAGTTTAACTATAGAAAAATGATATCAGTGGGTATCCATAAACTGTAGTTCGGAGAGAACCAAAATGTGATTTGGCAGCGGCTTTGGTTGTGGTGATAAGAGTGTGAGAATTTGTCTTTCTGTATCTACATTTGTCCTGAAAAAAATAAAAATAATACACTGTTATTCTGTTAATGTAAAACCAAATTTAAAGAAATACATTTCCTTTTTATAACAACTGAACTTACACAGACTCATTTCCCTAAATATATAACCCAGTTTACCACAAATGAAATCAGTGAATACGAAACAAAAATTAAATTGGGGTGTTAAATTGAAAAAGTTACTTACACACAAACGAAACCAGCAACATGTGAAGAAATCACCTCATCATCTTCCTTCTCTGAAACACTAACTGCTAAAATATGATGCAGGAGGCCTGCATTGGGTGACAAGACCACAAGTTTAGTCATGTGGTCATCTGCCTTCATCCCAAGAGGCAAGCAGGAATCTGGAAGAGCAGGGGCACCAACTTTAAAAATTTTCACCTCAAAGAATTTCACATCAAACGAGTGAGGGTATAAGGAATTGCTAGGAGTGCCATAGAAGTATTCTCGTATCCTCTGATCCCTGGCTTCCCCTCTAACACTTTTTGATCGTTCCACAACTCCTCCACTCTTAGGGAGAAATACCACTTTGACAAAGTTCGGCACATCTCTGACTAATTCATTGTATAGTCTTTCTTGATCCAAAACAAGTATAACATCAACCTCAAAACATTTTGCAGAACTCAGCAACTGTTTGTATCCTTCAGCTTTGGTCCACCCACAGGTGTTGATGATAGCTCCTGATGATCTTGCTACAAAATGAATTAATCATTTTCCATAACTAATGTGTGTATGTTATATGTCTACTTTAAAACTATTTAACAAAAGATAGGCATTGTTAATGAGAATTGTTCTCTATATTTGAAGGGAGAATATCTATTGGAAAAGATAAGTTTTAGGAAAAAAATACCACCTTCTGGCTTTCTACTTCTCCATCATTATATAGGAATTAGAAAACTTCCGAAAGAAAGATGAAAAAACATGATATAAATAAGATATAAACAACGATATTGAGATGTAGAGATTTTGCAAGTTTTTTTTTAGGCAAACAGGAAGAAAAATTACACCCAAGATAATTATATCTCGGTCAAGTTAAATATGCTAACTTACCAATATTCACACCAAAAACAAAAAAAAATACTCACTTCTTTTATTAACTTCTAGTCTTTCCTTCACTGTTCCTGCCAACTTTTGAACCAGCATATTGAATAAGGTTATATTTGAACCTGGAGTTTTGTGTCCAAAATTATACACAAGAGGAGCTTCTTGGGAAAATCCTTCATCAATGGAAGCAGGCCTCTCGATCATTAATGCCCCTATTGTACCTGGGATTGAAATATGCCCTTGGCCTACATCAAGGTCCACGAAAATGGGTCTTCTTCCCATTCGAACAGCATAATTAAGAAGTATTCTACAAATGGTTGACTTTCCAACATCATTGGGTCCGACAAGCATCGCAATTGGTCCTCTTTTATTATCTTTCTCTGCGTCAGTTCGCATGAACTCCAATGCCCCATGACAGTTTGAATATATCACCATAGGAGTCTCTTTTGCAGTATATATCACATCAGTTTTTCCTTTTACCTCAACAACGCAACCATGCCATGTGAAAACTGCTACTTTGGCACCTGCAGTGAATTCATAAGTTTTTCCCTTGACTATCTCTGTACCGAAAACTTCGGCTGTCCCCTTTTTCAATGTTAAATAAACTTTTTCACTTTTTGATTCCACTTCAAAACGAAGCTCCTGGTCTTGCTCCAGATTATATTCTTGAAGTACCTTCTTGTCCATAGTCATTTCAAAAATTGGTCACTGAAAACCAAACTGTAAATTATGAATGGACTTGATTAAAATCAATCAATATGAATGAACACCGTAGCTCTCTTCATAGAAATGAATATTACACATTCAGGTACAATTCTCAAATACAATATTATTAGGTACACAACTTAATTGGGTATTAGTGTAAGCGATAACAGGAAGAATTTGTAAACACGATTGTTCATGTTTCAGGCGTTTTACGATTAAGAAGAACTAGGTTAGAAAACTATTATGACTTCTTTCAGTATTTGAATGTTTGTTGTCTTTATTTATTTTATGTTATGTCCTTTGCTGTTAACTGGTTTACCGTTCTATTTTTGATATTACTTTAGTAACCCATCTACTCTTAAAATTATAAAGAAATACCGTTTTGTGATTGTCATTTTGTACCTTCAATATGATAGCACTAGAATAGATCAAAATTCTCAATTCAAAACATTGTTTCTTTTTCCTCTTTTTTTATTTATCAATTTTCAACAGTTTTTTAAAAGAACCGACTTTTTCGAGTAATTTTATTTATTTCGAATACAATGAAGTTTTCCTGTAATTGATATCGGAAATATCTATAATCTCTAACAATAATTGATGAATAGATCTCTGAAGTTTTCATAAGTATAAAACATTTTGCATATTTTCGTTTACATTGCCCATATTGAATTTATTGCGTGCGCCACTGTCGTTAGAGGATATGTCACAGTCTATCGCAAGATTCCTCCTTCCCCGTAACCCGCTCGCAACCGAACCGAGCGGCTTCAAAACATTCTGTGTTGAAGGTATTGATTTGCCGAGTCCATTAATTTTTCTACGTCCATGCTTAATACAATATGTGAAATATCAGTGTTGCCAATAATGAAACGCCTGAAACTACTTTCACGTGAATATGCTCAATTTTTAAAAAATTGTATGAGTAATACGATCGTTTATAATGAGAAATCAAATTGGCATAAATATTTGAAGAAGTGATCAACTGGGAAATCCATAAAATGCCGCTATTCAGGTGATTAATGTCGTTTTCCAAAGTAAAATGCTTTTTTAAAAACGTTATATCAATATGTTCTTACCAATTAATTGATGACTTGTGATTATAATAGAGTTTACAAATTTGCACTTACGTAAAAAAAAAAGTATCCAAATGAAAAAACCGTAACAGAGATACTCTTTACGGCTTTTATATGCTTCCTATACTTGACTTTCAACTTTACCTACAAATGGACGTAGGGGAGAACAGGGCAATGGGAGCCTACTAAGGGGAAGTTTGAATAAAACCTCGTTAGTTCAAATTCTTGTATTTTTTTTTATTATAAAATCTTACCTTTGTTATAAGAGAACAGTTTAATCATAGTTATAATCAACTACAGACATGAAGATAAGGTAAAATCATAGTTTGACAAAAAAAGTCAGTCGCTCCTATTACCCGACAAATGCGGCTAATGAGAGCCCATTTAACGCTCATACGGGAAATGGGAGCCAGTATAATTGCTAAAGAAAAAATTTAACAAAAACGTACTATAAATGATACCTTACTCATTATAATTATCAACACAATAAAACTATTAGTAACTCAAATTAAAATAAAAACAAATTCGAACAAAACGGAGATAAAATATGAAATAATTAATGGAAAACAAACAATCTAGTCTTTACGGATCCAAACAAAATGCACAAATATAAGTATTGGATTATCACTGCCAGAACACTCTTATAGGCCCAGTTTCCGCAACTTCTGCATCAGTACCACATCTCTCCACATTTTCCAGTATCTAAACAAATTGCACATAAATTAACCCTCTTCAGAATATTCTAAGTCATCATCGCAAATAGTATTTTCGTCTACTTGATCAATAGATGAGTCTTCATCATCACTTTTAAACAGATATCTTGTTGCCTTTTGATCCTTGTGTTTCTGATGGTTGTAGTCCTGTTACTTTTAATCTCTTTATCTTTGGTATGTTTCTTTTCAACACATTTACCTTTGGTACATTTTCCTTTGACACAATTTTCTTTATCACAGTTTCCTTCATTTTTCTTAATTGTCTTTGTCTTATTCTCCTTTACAGTTCTTTTCCTCTTTTTTTTCTTCAAATACTTCTTTATTTGGAGTACTTCTTATTATTACAGAATGCTGTTTGTTCTTCATCGGTCTTTGTTTTTGAGAGATGAGTTGTTGAGGCAGTGGACTGACAATGGAGACAGCATTAGCAAAGTCAATATTGGACTGAGTTGCGATAGATCTGGCGGTGTGTGTCTTCAGAATAGCAGGCGGTTCCGGTGCTGAATATGATGTGGATGAAATTGAAGATGGAATTACAGCAGCTTCCCTCTGAATGATTTCTGGTTCAATTTCCAGACCACAAAAAATAGAAGGACTTGTTACAGGGCTAGCACATGGTTGCTCAGCCTGATTTAACGTTGATGGAATAGAATAAGTGATATTCGTTGGCTGCTGTTAAGCGTCAGCCACCGGCACAGTTGATCTGGATCCCTCATTAATAAAGTCATCATCGCAAAAAACTCCAGGATTCATTGGTAATATTCCCGTTGCTTTAAAGCTTGACACTCCATTTTCTATAGAAGCAAATCTAGTATAGGCTTTATTAAATAGTCCAGCAATGTCGTATGGGGTAATTTTTATCAAATTCCTAGATTTTATATACCAGTTGCACTCTTTATTATAAGCTCTTTTAAGCGGGGAATAAAATGCAACGTCAAGGGGATGAAGACGGTGGGATTAATGAGGAGGAATGGTTAGAATTATGACATGGTTCTCTTTTGCCATTTCCCAAGCTTGGAGAGTAGCATGACTGTTATGATTATCCAATAGTAGCAATACGGGTTTGGTGTATTTATTAAAATGACGAAGCCATACAACAAATATTTTTTCGTTAGTCCAGCCATTATGTGAACATGTGTAAACGGCTCCCACTGGTCCATGTTTTTCCAGCTGTGGTGAGTGACGTTGCCGACGAAATATGAAAAGCGGAGGAACGAAAGATCCAGACGCACTCATAACACATATTACTGTGACCGTCTTATCTCTTTCCCATGATGTTACATATCCGACGCGTTTTTGTCCTTTGGGAGCTATAATTTTTTCAGTCTCCTGGACGGTCGTTATACCAGTCTCGTCTACATTGTAAATCATTTGAGGCTCGAAGTGATGTTGTTTCATCAATATCTCCAAATTATTGAAAAAAAGCGTTATCTCAGTCTCGTTAAATCCGAGGATTCGGTTGATACTGATGGCTTCAGGCTTTCTAATACTCGAATCTGGATGACGCTGCATAAATCTAGCCAGCCAATCTTTTCCTGCAGTTTGATTGACTTGGTTAAACCGTTCCTCAATACCTAGTTCTTCAGCTACACTGTAACGTACTTTGCGAAACTGTTGTCTTGTCAAACCATAAAACTTATTTGATATAGTCCGAAAATGGTTAGCCAGTATTTCTTCTTGGGCAACATTAAATACAGTACTTTTTTCCAGCTTAGGAGAGTTTTTATAGCTTATAGCACTCTTTAGAGTGCTGTAAGGAATGCTGTCTGTTGAGATACTTTGTACACCGATATACCTCCTCTTTTGAGAACAGATATCGCGTTTTCTACTGAATCCACTGTCCAAGAAGCTTTTGTGGTTGTCCGAGCTCTTTTACGTGGCATCTAAAACAAAAAAAAAAGGCATTATGTTTCTTAAATGACTAAGTGGGGTAATGGGAGCTATGTCAGGTTATAAGAGTCTAGCTAGGCTACCATTAGCCGCTGACCACTATTTTGAAAAGTAATAACATAATAATTCTATTCTCAATCACAATTTAACTGATTGTACTAGTTAGTAAACGAAACTGAGGATATAAGAAGTATGAATACAATAAAGAATATGATTTCATGCTTACCTTGATGATGGCAATCGGCAATTTCTTGTAAGCGTGGAGCGAAAAACATACAAGCGTTCCTAGTGACTAAACGAATGGCACTAACGGCTAACGGTTTGAGCGCGTCAGGCGAAGTTTGCAGATAGTTGACGGAAGTACCCGAGTGCTTAAGACCGCGCAAAGCCTGCATTCCGTTCAATCACCATAGCTCCCATTGCCCAATCGCTCTCATTACCCCGCGTTCCCCTACCTATAGTTTAATTGAAATGAGATTACTTCCAAGAAAATGAATTTTAATGATATAAGGTGAAAAATTTAGAAATCAAAAGTGGAATGATTTCGTTTTACTGTTTTCTGATTAGGGTCATTATTTGAAGTAATGACAGAAATCGAGGTTATATGTTGTGAATAATTTTTTTTTGATTTTTCATCTAAATTCTCAGTGAAAATGGTTCGTGTTGTACAAATTCCCTGTAAAAAAGTAATCCATACTAAGTCTGAAATGATTATACTAACGAGGAGCATATGCAAATACATCAATAATGATTTGCGTTCCAAAACAATAAGACAAAAGTTTTTGGAATATTTCATAAATGAAAATAATCATAAATTTGTTAAGTCAAGTCCTGTTGTACCCTACTGCGACCCTACAGTGGCGTTTGTAAATGCCGGAATGAATCAGGTAACGTCATAATTTCACTGTACTTTCTCAATCATGAATTTTTATTATTTCTGTAGTTTAAATCTATTTTTCTTGGCACTCAAACACCCAGATACAAGAGGGTGGCCAACAGCCAGAAGTGCATTCGTGTAGGTGGTAAACATAATGATTTGAACGTTGTTGGGGTAGATGGATATCATCACACTTTTTTTGAAATGCTTGGAAACTGGTCATTTGGAGATTATTTCAAGGTAGAATTCACCCAGCTATATACAGGTCTATTCAAACTCAAGTCTGTGCATAGAGATATTGCCTGTTTTGCTAACCAAATTAGTGTCATCAGCATAGTTTTTAATAATAATAGTAATTCTTTATTTCCAGTCAGACAATAAAATTGTGTAAGAACTGTCAATAGAAAATACAAATTGAAAAAAGATAAAAAGGGGGAAGACAGGCTCATACCCTAAAATTGCAAAGCATAAAGGCGTTTCAAATCAAATCAAATCAGTTTATTCATTCAAAGGACCCATTAGGGTATAGAACATGTCAGGATATAATGTCTTCTATTCAACGGAAGTCATTTTTTGTGGAAGAAAATCATTCTTTTTCATCGACCGTTTTTGGGTATTTTTTACCTTCCACAATGTTTCGGAGGCATCTTTAATGATTTTTTGAACACAGAGAAACTATTCAATTCCTTTATATGATCTGAATAGTAATTATATATCTTTGGACCAATGTATTCCGGTCCACATAATGTTACTTTGAATCTAGCTGAGGGCAAATGACAATGATTCTTGGTTCTGGTATCATGGGTGTCATGAGAAGATCAGAGAATAAACGCAATAAGCCCAAGAGGCTGCAGTGTTTTCTGGAGACTTGGACAAGTCATACAGCTCCCAAGGTACCAAAAAAAAATCATGTTGATGAAGTTTCAGATTTGTTGTATGAGTTTATTTATTTTTGAAAACATTTTCTACTGTGAAAGATGCTCCAGAAACAGACACAATACCTAGATTCTACGCAACTGACTCTTTGTTAAAACTGTTCGTAAGTTGGTAAAAAGATACTTCAATGAATTAAGTTTTGAAATCATTTGTTGTGGGTGGGCTTTCCAGTTGAGAAAGTCATCTACAATGATTCCCAAGAATCTTACATTGTGATCAGTATTTGTTAGGGTCACATTGTTCACCATGAAATATATGCTTTCCACTGTTTTGCCAATTGGGAATACGAATAACTTCTGTTTTGTCTGCATTGAAGAATAAATCATTGTTATTGAAGTAATTTGATATCCGGCTTACTATTCTAGCACAATTGTTTTCTAATATTTTTTTTCTGGTGCATAAGAGGTATAATGACCTTCTGTAACTACTGTTTTTAATTGAAATGTATAATATTTTCTGTATCATAAATGTCACTAATGTCTGATGAATCAATTTTTATATAATGAAAAATGTTGCAGTCATATTTTCTTTCTAGCCGATACTATTTGAAATTAATACTAAGATACAAAAAATACGTTTTTTGACAATTCTCATATGAATTAGATGTTCAAGGAAATGAATTTAAAGCTAGGCTTGTTGTTTGAGGTTTGACTCAAGTTTATGATGTTGATTACTTTGAAAAAAAAAATCTGTTTAAAATCTGTTTTTCCGTTAACCAGCTGTCGCACCCCTACGAACGACAACCCTCAGAAGTCGAAACTTGAAAAGTTTTCTTTTGTTCTGAAGCTTCTAAGTTCATGCTGCAGATGTCCCATTTGAAGACATATACTGATACCTTCTCATCATATAACTCTGAATAAAAGAAACAACATTCCGTCTGACAATATAACCTTTCAGTTTCTTCAGAAGAATTTCACCTTACACACAATCAAAACAAAAGATGACACTGAAACCTCTGGCGTAGAACAAATCCAAAACAAGCAGAATTTTTATTCATATATATGAATGTTCATGCTGTACATGTTGCTTAATGTTGACAGTTGCTAAAATTTTTATAACAGATACAGATCTGTGTTGAAAATTTCGAAGTTGAGGATGGTCCAAGCCAGACTGCAGCTTGTATTAAAATTCTATAACCATATTCTGATATACAATTGTAAGTTTTTTTGAAAAAGTTTGAAATAATTTTCAATATTTACGCAAATGAAGAAGATACAACCAGAAAAAGGATTTATTGGTTTTTCCATGTAGGTAAATTTATCATAATTTAAAATACTCTCTAGCTCTTCTTATGAGATCCCTACGCATAGATATGAATTCAAATGGCCCTGCATACTCACTAGCAGTAATTTTTCTTTCATCAGCCAGAGGCATGCAAGCTCGCGTGGAATTTACTTACAAAAGTTTATAAATTACCCACAAGTAGATTGTATGTAACTTATTTCAAAGGTGACAAAGAGTTGGAAGTGGAAGAGGATTTAGAAACTAAGGAAATCTGGAAAGAATTAGGGTATGTTGAATTCAAATTCGAGTGAAAAAAATATTGAATTTTTTTTTAGCGTGTCAGCTGACAAAATACTACCCTTTGGTCTGAGGGATAATTTTTGGGAAATGGGTCTTACTGGTCCTTGTGGACCATGTACAGAAATCCACTATGACCATCTGGGAACAAGTAACAGATCAGAATTTGTAAATAAAGGTCTTCATGACCTAACTGAAATTTGGAATATTGTTTTCATAGAATATAACAGGTAATACATCATGATTTGGATTGATAATGAGCTGAATCATAATAAATTATTTTAGACTTCCTGATGGTACAATTGTAAACCTTCCTCAAAAACATGTAGATACAGGATTGGGATTTGAAAGACTGACTTCCATCTTACAAAACAAAATAAGTAACTATGATACGGATAATTTCAAGTATCTTCTAAAGGCTATAAATAAGGTACTTGAGTTCTTTTAGATTGATTGATTATACTTTAAACAATTAATGTTAGAATTGTAGCAATTTACCAAAGTATGAAGGTAAATTTGGAGAAAATGATTGGAACAGCCTAGATCAGTCTTATAGAACATTGGCTGATCACAGTAGGATGATAACAATTTGTTTAGCCGATGGTGTAATTCCTGAGGAAAAGTAAGATCAAGTTTTTGTTAAAATATAATTTCAGTGAATTACTAAAAATTTTCAGCCAGAAACTACGAAGAATTTTGAGAAAAACTTTTCTTCTGAGTGAAACTGCTTTCAAGAGGGAAAAAGGCCTACTCAAAGAACTTTCCAATTATGTTGTGGAAAACTTAGGTCCCTTTTATCCTGAGTTGGAAAAAAATATTTCCCAGGTTAAGTTGCTTATAATATTTATCTTATAAAACTTTATCTCTGTTAATATACTTTTTGAGTAACATTAAATTATGAAAAATCATCAATAATGTTTATTATGAAAAAATATTTTGTCGATTCAAAACAGCCTATAAACTTTCACAGAAAATCCGTAAAGTCAACATCAGTCAAGTTTTTGGAGTTTTGAATAGACACAAATTTATTGTGGTGTGAACATCGTAAAGTTTTATTCAAACGATCATCTCCCATAATTGAAATGCTTTTCAGAATTACAAACTTCATAAATATTCTTATATATTCAAAATGGATTTCTTTCTCTTTCAAAACTGCATTTTTTGTATCAGTTTGGGGAAAGACAATTCATTGAAATTACTGCAAAATAAAGTTATACAGTCTATTTTAATATTAGATTATAAGAAACCAACTATTAAATTTTACAGAGCAAAAAACATATCAGATGTGCCAAAGTTGTAGCAACTTAAACTTTGCACCTTTGATCGTTTGAAATAAACATTGGCAATCATTTTATTGGAGAGATTTTGAATGATATAATAATTTCCAGAATTCTATTGAAAATTTCAGCAAACTAACATAAAATTATCTCATTATAAACAATTATGTTATTAATGTTTTATATATTTCGATCCTATCTTATTCAAGTGAATTTGTTGAATGTAATGTTCTTTTTTGTACCAATAATGTTGATAAGGACTGTTTCTAGGGAAAATTAATCATTGTTAATTAATATAACTAGTGCCTAATAAGGTTTATTTTCAGATTCATCAGATAATTGATTATGAAGAGGAAGTTTATAAATCAGTGCGAGAGTCCAGTTCAAAAGTCTGGCAAAAACTCACGATAGAAAATCCAAAGTTACTTGAACTTGATGTCATCGAAACTCCAAATTTCATAGGAGCCTACAATGAAATCGCAACCACTCGTCCAAAAGAAATAGGCTCAAAATTAGCTTTCAAACTGTATGACACCTTTGGAATAGATGAAGATGCCATAGCAAAGCTGTCAAAAGCTTTGAACTTGAAGTTCAACCCACAAGAGCTCGTCAGAGAGTTAGAAACTGCCAAGATAAGATCAAAGGAAAGCAGTGCTTATACTGAGAACAAGATATACTCTTATCTACTCAGTGAAAACATACCAAAAACATATGACACCTCAAAATACTCATATTCAAAACACAATGGGAAATATTCCTTTGAAGAGATTGAGACTACTGTTCTCAAAATATTCAAAGATGAAGAGAGCATTGATGAAATAAAAAATGATCATTACTGTTCTTTGGTATTGGACCAAACTAACTTATACTCGGAAGCTGGAGGTCAAATATCTGATAGAGGAATTATTACATTGGGCACAGACACGTTCGATGTAACATCAGTAGAAAACGTAAACGGATATATTGTGCACAAGGGTTTTTTCAGATCAAATGGAAACACCTTGAGAACAAACACAAAAGGAAAAATTCGAGTGGACGATAACTTCAGGCTTTGCTGCATGAGGAATCACACTTGCACGCACTTGCTAAACGCTGCTTTGAAAAAAATTAAAGGAGCTACTTGTCAAAAGTCCAGCAAAGTAACTGACAAGTATTTGACTTTTGATGTGGCGATTTTCGGGGACAAATTGTCACATAAGGATGTAGAAAAGGTCGAAGCTGAAGTTTTGGAGGTTTTGAAAAAAAATCAGCCTGTGAATGTCATAGAAGTAGACAGCCAAGGATTGCTAGCATTCGATTGCGTTACACTTATTCCTGGAGAAGTCTATCCAGAAAGTGGCATAAGAATCATAGAAGTGAAGAATGATTCATTTTTGTCAAGGTATTCAACTCTCAATACTCAAACATTATTGTGAAACCAGTTATTGTTTAGACAAGTGTTTTTTTTCAAAGAGATTAATAAAATTGAGCTTTTTTTAGGGAACCCTGTTGTGGTACTCATGTCTTGGACACTTCTGACTTAGAGGATTTTTGTATAGTAAACATAAAATCTTTAGGAAGAAGTATCGCATCAATTTCTGCTGTAACAGGCGACAGAGCAAAATTGGCTAGAGAAAATGGATCTGAGATAGTAGAAGAAATAGATTCCTTAAAGGTTAACATCAGCGATAACATAGACAAGGTTGGAAGTTAATAGTACTTAAATTTACACATTTCATTTTTTCAGGTTAACTTTTGTTTGTTCCATAAAGTAAATTCAAGTCATTTTCCGACATTTTCTTTGTGAAAGATATAAAAATAGTGAGTCATTTAAAAGAAATCCAAGTTGTACCAAAGAAAACTGAATTTATTTTTCATCTAAAAATAAACCAAACATTACATTGAGTCTCAACATAATGAAATGAGTGAATAAAACAAATTATTGAAATAAAACTTCCCATTCATCATTCATATTCTCAGTGGCAATGAGTAGTTATGAAATATATGGGGCTTATGTTGTATTGTTTATGAGAAAGCATCAAAAGCTCTTTATTGTCTTTCATACGACAATCCAACCAACAATTTTTTCGAAGAATATTTCATAATGGATGGGATTGAAATTGTTTATTTGGCAATTGATAAGGAATAGAAATAATAGAATTTTACATTATGTTAACAAGGAATTCACAAGGACATGTGTGTTCCTATATCTGAGTAAAGTTTTTAGATTGTTATCCAGACAGTTGTGATTCATAAAGATGTTCCGTAAAGAAGTGAGTGAATCTCAGTTTTGATATTATTTTGATGAATTTCTTGGCTAGTTAGTAAATTAATTTTACTTCTTTTAAGTTATTGATGAAAATCCACTAACTAAAGTAAATTTTTGTTTCTTTTCAGCCAGAGTTATTGGAAATGATTGAATTTGAAACGTTGGCAAAAAACTAATTTTTTAACATGATTTTAATGATCCATAACCTAACCAATACTACATCTGACATTAATTTTAGAGATTTCATAGAAATAGAAATGAAGAACGCCCTAGAATCCAATGTGAAGACCACAAATTCAAACAAAAGATACATTATTCACTACCTCCGAAGTTCGATGATGCTGGAAAACGTGCCACTACAGAAAGCAACGAAACTTTGCCCTGATCTTCCTATTCTAGTTTTAGCATATGCCGATAATATGGTCAAAGCTAGGTGCTGTGTTCCTAAGGTACAGGCTCATTATTTCAGATATTTACTTATGACTATGAAAGCCATTAAATTTTAATAGAAACAATTAAACGAAGTATGTTCAGAAAATAACGGAAATTTTTAAATTCCACCCGTTTAGGGTCCGATTGTCTAAACTTTTTATGATGATATACATGCTCCTGAAGTATGAATGTTGAGCTGTATTCATTGTTTAGGTAAGGTGTGTTTTCTGAAACTTTGATGTCCGTCATTGAGGATGGTAGGGTTCCATGTAAGTGAAATTTCATATCGTAACTCATATATAATACTGTATAGCAATCCTGTAAATGATATCTGATTCAATTTCATAACGAATGTTTGGAGTATAAACTGATAGGAAAAAGTGGCGTTCATATAATTCAATGTTCATGTGAAAGTAGTTGTTTCGGAAGGGATCTACCTTTATAAAATTTATTTTGAACTCGATTGTTTTCTTTCTTCTTTGGAAGTTTCCTACAATATTTTGTGTAAAGAGGGATATGTGAGAGCCAAAAACCTTTTTCACGTAACAGTTTATTGTGATCTTTCATATTTCTTCACAGAAGCATAACCTGTCTTTTACTGCGCAATAACCAACTTCTGCATATCTGTTAATACTGAAATAGTTTTTAATGTATTCACTGTTGTTGTAACATGTAGTGAAATCTGCTCCAAATTGTGAAATTCAAGAGTATATTTTGTATTTTTGAGAACGGTCAACCTCCCAATTGAAGTAGTTTCCTCAGCACATAAAGTCGGTCATAACAGTATAAAGGGCTTCATGGAAAATCATTACGAAAAGGTGAGATTGAATCTTCATCTTTTAAAAATTCCATTTTCTTTCAGAATCTGAAGACTGAAAAATTCAACGCAGAGAAGTGGATGAAGGAAACTGTTGCCGAAGTTTTTAAAAGTAGGGCAGCACCGCCGAAAGGTCAAGACGGTAGTTTAGTTTGCAACATGAAGGCTAAAAAAGTTCACGTTCAAGAATGGGATCCATTGCTCAAAGACAGTCTAGAAAGAGCTGAGAAGTACATTAAGGAAAATTTGTGAATAATTTGTTGAAATATGATAATGTCTCTGTTTTAAGAGAAAAAAAATTGGCTATGTGTCAAAGAATATGGATCAGGAAATGTCAGTTGTTGTATAGTGTTCTAAAAAGATATTTATTATGAAAAGAAATAACATTTTTATTGAAATTTTTATTTTATTACATCATCAACAAGCTTTAACACTTAATGGCAAACATTAAAAATCGATATACCTCCAAACTAATTGAATTTTTTATCGCAAAACTCCCTTTCTTTGAAGCAAATCTTTGAAAATATCGGTTATGTACATTTCCAAACAAAAACTTTATTTTACAGTACTGTTTTGAAAACAAAGGAAGTTGTTGCACTTGCAGGTAATTGAAAGAATTTTATCTGGAACTGCATCAATCCGAAATTCTATTTAAGTTTCTGATTTCTTTGGCATTTTTCAATGATTCCAGTCTTTGAATATCGATTTTATCAAGCATAGTTTTCACCTAAACAAATATAAAAAATATACCCGTTTTATGAAAGGGCTCACTTCAAGGTTTCTTCTACAGGGTGTTCCAATAGCAAGAGAAGACTAATTTGTTATTCGATGTTCTCCACATTCTAACGTAAATTTGCAGTACTACCTAATTGAAACATCCTGTATACCAAAAATTAATTTTATAAAAATAAACATCTGCCTCGCAAATTCGCAGAAAAACTAGCATTTTCAACCCAATTACTACATCTACGACAGTCTTAATCTAATGTGACATCGACATACACTACATTTATTATAAAAAATAATCTAAAACAATCTTACGCAACTATCATTTATATTATACTTCCGTAACAACGTTTTTACTTGAGAAAAAAACATGTATTGCTTTTACAATATTTTAGACATTTGTGTGACTAGCAATATTATAATATTTCAGCAACATATCTCCCTACTATTCAAACATATTTAATTGATGCTACAGTACAACTGAACTGATTTTTGGAGTAACAAATACTNGTCTGCAGACAAAGGCAGTGAGAATGCTCTGTGCAACATTGAATTGTAGGCCTTTTCAATATACCTGAAGGGTATATATTGGCGAATGTAATGAATCATTGTTAGTTTATTGTATAAGTTTGAGAATTTCCGAAACTGCAGTAACATTAGTTACAAATAAAAGTGGTGAAAAACATAGAAATTTTCATTTCTCTTTTCATTATGATCTCCTACCATGTAGTAACGGCTACATCCATCAATTTATTCTAAGAAAGGCGCTTAGAAACTTCAACTTGAAGCATCAACTCTTCCTATGAATTATTGTAATGATTATTCATACATGTCATTGGGAAAAATCATTCATTATTGGATTACTATTGCATAACTAACCTTTTCAATCGGTATACAAGATAATTCTCCCCCCTGCTGGGGAGGAGGCAAAGGAGCCGTGGGAGTAACAGCCGGCTTCATGCCCTTTTCCTGTGCCTCTCTGGCACGACGTTCCTTCAATTTCAAAGAAAATATAGCCACAGATCTTGCCCTCTTCATCAGGCTTTGTTTCACTCTGGTTTTCTTCGCAGCCAGTTCTTCTGCAGCTGAAAAGAGAAGACAAACTCCAAAATTAATGTGATTAGAACATTAACCTTACCTTTCGTTGCTTCGTCCACAGTTTCCTGGCTGGAAATACTCTTGACGCTGTCACTCAGCGAAGGATCTTTGGGTATCAATGGTCTTGCCCTGACAGGTATGTGGTGGGAAGGGGGAGATCTAGGTCTTGGAGGCCACAACGGGCTGCTCTTAAGAAGATCTGAATCTGAACTTGAAGCGTCCTTAAATGAAGAAATCTTGTGAGTAATGTAACATTGAACGAATATGATTTCCGTTCACCTTGGGGGCTATGCAATCTGTGCTCCGGTGGACGTCAGTCTCTTCTTTGAGTCTCCTTGCCCACTCCATTCCACCGCTAGGGCCAATAGTGAGATGATGAGTAGCTTCAGACTGAAATAAGTCATAGAATTATTAAAGGAAATGTTTCATAGAAGAAAGGAAATTATACAGGGTGTAACTGAATAAGTGTAAAACATTTAAGGAGGTGATTCCTCATTGAAAAAAAAGATAGGATCTTTTATATAAAGAAACTTCATTGGAGCATCCCTTGTTAAGATACAACCCCTTAAACGGGGTACATAAAATTTGTATAACAATTTTTT